TACATACTCAATGAGATGTCATACTAAGTATAATTACTGGTATGCAGTTTCTGACATGGCCAGGGGGACATCAATCAAGTGTTCTCTAATGCACACTCACACAGTCCTGAGGAGAGGTCTAGTTAGCCTAAATAATTATAGTAACCTGTGCTTGCTAACCAGGACTGCAGGGCCGAGAGTTTCACCTTTTCATTTCTGTGTGTTGTAAACGTCTTGAATCATGTCAAAGTGTGTTGTTACAGGTCATGCTTACAGGAAGTGTGACGTCAACGGTTCCTGGGTGTTTGTGGACCGTTGGAACAAAACATGGACCAACTACTCAGAGTGTCTGCGCTTCCTGCAGCCCAGCGGTGAGGAAGGGAGAGTAAGTATGACTTGTTTGCTTGTCAAATGTATTTCACATACTTTTTTTGTTATATGGATAGATATGCAGCCACAGATTCTTCGCATATGCAGCAGTCAAAGCTGTTAATATCATCAGACATTAATTAATGTGGAGTCTACGAACAATACAGAAATATTTTAAGGACATATTTTGCAAAGTTGGTCAGTGTAGGACAGGTTCAAATTCACATCAGATAATCTCACCCTTTAAGCGTACTGGTCAGTGCACAGCTGTTCAAAAGCAGTTTTCTGCCAAATGCATGGGTTTGATGAAATGGTTTCATATCAGCCTCTTTAGAGGACATTAACAAGGCATTCCATATGCTGCCACCCACTAGCCCGCTGTAGTGACTCAACCAAACAGTTTTGTTGCAGTTCAGACGGAAACTTAGGAACAAAATCCATCCATCCATTATCTTTACCGCTTTTCCTGTTCAGGGTAACAGAGACTGTTTGCCAAACCTAAAATCACCACTTGGGAATGAATATTACAATAAAATTGTTTCTAGTACTACACAGGGGTGCAGTGATTAGCACTGTTGCCTCACTGCAAGTAGGTTCCTGGATCAAATCCCTGTCTGACAGAAGTCTTTCAGTGTGGAGTTTGTTACAGGGCTGACATATAGAGGCTGCCATATAGAAACACACTCACACTGTGGGAGGATGCTGGAGTACTTGGAACCCATGCATGCATGGGGAAAACATGCTAGCGAACCAGGAACCTCCTCATTGTTAGGCAACAGCACTAAACACTGCACCACCCTACAGCCCTAGTATTGCTGAGTGGTGATTTATGGTTTTGGGAAAATAATGATTGATCACCTGTCCACTAAACTGGACATCATGCATTGCTGGCTATATATTCTACTGCAATTTAAAGTAATTCTGAGACTGTGCTAATCCTGAAAATATTTGATGCGGAGTACTTTTTTCAGTAATTTAAAATGTTTTTTTGATTTTGTTTTTTTTACCAGAAATCAGTAAATTGCCAGTTCTGTTTTTAACATAAACAATATTGTGAGTTATTAAGTAGGTTTTAATCAATGTGTTTCATATGTGTTTCTATGGGAAGAGCTCAAGTGAAATTCAAACTCAAGTCCTCCATCAATATTTGCTCTCCCATGAAGTGTCTGCTGCTGTGCTGTTCTGGCAGCCTCCAGGCAAAATCGATGGAGGTAGTTTGAAGCCCAATCAAGCGTTTTTTGTTCCCTGTTTAAGGATGGATGGAAAAACCTTTATAACTCAAAATGAAAAAAAATCAAAAATGATTCTGTCCAGCCCATGGGATATGCGATAAACTTCATGATGTCCACTCTAGTGGATACTTCTCTACCTTCTTCAAAATTATGAATAAAGGAAAAAAAGCCAGTCCTAATATGTAAAAAAGATCTGGTCTATATACTTGTTTTGCTCACTAATCCTGATTATGAAACAATGTGAGCTCCTGACAGTTCCTTGCCTCTTGAGTTGAAGAGTGACCTTCCCCTCAGACATTTTTATTTCTTAATTTTCACATCTACAGCAAAGTAATCCAAGCCTTGCAGTGTTAGACAGGAAAAAACTAGACACAATTCAAATAAATGTTCATAATTTTTAATTTTTAATTTATTTCCTACCTCTTAAATCATTTCCCAATACCTACCATTCACTGCCCTGAGGAACAGAACTTTTTTTCTCTTAAGTAGTTTTATTCAGAAAGAAAACAATTAAACCACACTCACTGAACTCAACTTAATCCCCTTATGATATTCAACCCACTCATGTTAACACGCACACTGTACTGCTTGAGGGACCTTTTGTCATCTGCTCTGTTTAAATAAAATAAAAAGATTGCTAGTGATGGAGCGCTTGTGAGCTATTTGCATCTACATTTGGACTTAGAAGCTTCAGAAGGACTTAGGAGCTTAGGGGTGATACTTTCTATCTTACTCAAGATACATTAGTTAAACTACAGGCCATTATTACATTTTATATTATTCTGTGATTTCTATTATGAGTATGTGAGGGCTGATGGCAGAACAGCTTCTTCAATCTGCAACTATACTGACATTATTATTAGTTGCATATGCACCACTGAGATCCATAATAATAACAGGGCTTTTATGAATTTATATCTTTCATTCATAATGGCCATTAGCCACATAATTCGGTGTTATGTATGTTTAAATCTGTATATATTTTTTCAAAAATTTATGAAATCACTCAAGCTTGTTGATGCTTTGGTTTTAAGTAGGGCCTGACCCATTTGTGAGTTTTTGGGCCGATACCAATATCGATATTAGTGAGAGAAAAAAAAATCGAATACGATATATCGGCCAGTCGCTCTTAGATCTGTAAAGATAGATAGATATCTATAAACACATTAATTGGGTTGATCCCTCAAATTTAGTTTTCAAATAGTTAAAGTAAAGATATGTACTAATGACAAGATGGTCACTCAACTAGAAAGTAACTGCACATTTACATGCATCACTGCTTGACACTCTGAAGGATGATAATACTTGTTGTAATCAATAGAGCGCCCTCTGCTGGTGATAAACAGAAAGAAAACTGCTATTGTTATACAATGCTACTTACATGAAATGCTATTTGACTGGTGAGTAAATCTAGTAATATCGGTACATATTTGCAATACAATTATCCTATACCGATTGTCACTTGATATGCTAATATTATCAGCTGGCTGATTTATCGGTCGGACTCTAGTTTAAAGATTTATTTTACCGTCAGCATTTATTTGTCCAGGACCAGAAGGTGGATTGCTAGGTACAGTAACTTTCTCCCTTAAAAATCATTGCGCTTCTCTGAGAGACGCAATAACCACTGGCATCTTTTTATCTATGAAGCCCTTACCGGAAAGCTTCCATCCACCTCCTTGTTACATCTGAACCCTGGTCCATTTTTAACCCGCTCGAGAAAGAGAGGCTGGTTCTCCATATATCTCATGCCAGGACTGACCTAGGGAAAACTGTTTTTAGTGTTAGTGCTGCAAACTCCTGGAATATTTTACAACAGGACCTGAATTTGAGCACTTTTATCCCTTATGGACACTTTCAGAAATATTATTTTTAACCGCCCAATACCTGACTGTAACTGTTTTATCTGATTTTATTTGCTGACTTATCATTGTAGTAATTTCAAGCTTTTAAATGATTTTAGTGTATATATATTTTATTGTTCTTATTGCTCTTTTATTAATTTCATTTTCTGTGATAGCTTTATCTCATTTTGTTTAACTCGTTTGTCATTTATGTATGTTTTCTCTGCATCATTGTAAATGACGGTCACCCTCAATGATCTCTCCGAGAATGTAAATAAAGGTTGATGATGATGATAATGGCTCAAAAACTGACGCCTTATCTCCATACATACCCATATATACTGTAAAATGATGATGTTTTGCCTCTGTGGATTACAGCCCTCAGTTTTAAATTTTCTCCTGGTGCATGTAGACATTAAAACAATAAGATATCTTCTGTGACAGTCCACACACAGTTTGTGTTGTGGGTAAATGTTGCCAAAGAATGACAGTTTTAGAAAACATGCACTCCAGAGGGGTTGATGAGGCTTCGATGGGAGGCGAGTACTTTGATACATTTGCAACCGTCATCCATATACTGATATGGTTGTTGAGGCTTGGGAGCTTTGAGATTTAGTCGTCAGCCTGAAGTTTAGTTAATCTTTTGTTGAAGGTATCTTGGCATCTTTGAGTCTGGCAAACACTTATTAAAAATGGTGTTATCTTAGATTTCAGGCCAAAAGGTTTTTCTTTTAAACTCCTGATGTTGTCTCCAGTTTGCCAGCTTTTGTAAAGCCTTTCATCTGTCACAGCTTAAGACTTCTATAGACATGCTAAGACTTTATTAATCCAGCTCTTTTTTTATAAACTTGCAGTCAAACACAGAAAGACATATCTGTGATAAAACAACCTACACTTTCCCCTCTGTTGTATCAAATAATCATTCAGCCTATCCTCATATTTTGTTCCCATGTTTTTTGCTTTTAATTTATTTTTGGGCTTTTTATGCCTTTAATGGAGAGATAGGACAGTGGATAGAGCGGGGCATGACATATGGGAAAGGAGCCACAGGCTTGATTTGAACCTGGGCTGCCCGCTTGGAGGACCACAGCCTCCATACATGGGGCGCACACACTAACCACCGCGCCACCAGCGCCCCAATTCCTGTGCTTTTTTAAACATGTTTACAGTCACAATCCAGGTCAAACTTACACGCATTACCAACTGCTGCCAAAAATAATTGGTCTCCCCTCATCCAACCTCACATCACTGAACAGTAAAGCTATCAGGACATCACACACCCACTAAATTATCACCTCACTCCTCTGGCCACTGGGCGAAGGTATACAGAGCACTGAGCTGCCCTTAAAGAGCAGACCTCCCTGAACCAGCCGTATGGTTAGTGTGTTTTTACTGTGAAATGTAAACTGTTGCTTTTCTCTGTGCTGTCACATTATGATGATTACTGTCAAACCTGCACACTGCTGTGAAGAAGACTTTCCCATTTGGGATGAGAAAGTCTAAGTCAATTCCTCAGCGAATAAACAGCATAAACATTAGTTTAAATATAATTTGGGTGTTAATATGTTATTCCTCTTTCTGTCTAATTGCAAATAAAAAATTATTGAAGCACTGAAAACATCAGCCGTGAGGGTTTACTTGTTGTCATTTCTATCTATGTTCACAGCAACAATTCTTTGAGCGGCTGTATGTCATGTACACCGTTGGCTACGCTGTGTCCTTCAGTTCGCTGCTCGTGGCCATCTTCATCATTGGATACTTCAGGTGAGAGAGGAATGGCTGATACTTACACGCATGGCTCGTTTTGTAATGAACTGAACTGTAACACCATCATCATTGTTGTTGCAAGTACAAAAACCGTAAGGTTAAATGCTTCAAGTGTTCAGTGAGTGCTCACTGTTAATGTGATTCACTGGCTATTGAAACATCTGATTCCGAGGGGGAATGCTCTTTTCACTGTTAACAGCTGCATCTTGTTTCACCCTGACAGTTCTGCTCTATTACCAATTACTTACTACTTTTAAATCAGGTTCGAGGCACTGTTGACACAGTGGTTAGTGCGCCCCATGTGTGGAGGCTGTAGTCCTCCAGGCGAGTGGCCCAGGTTCAAATCCCACCTGTGTCATTCCCCACTGTCTCACTCCCTGATTGCCAACTCTATCCACTGTCTTATCTCTACATTAAAAGGCCCCAAAAGCCCCAAAATAAGTCTTCAAACCCCGCCCTCCCCCCCCCCAAAAAAAAAACAGGTTCCACTTTAGTTCAAAATGATTGAAAACATCAAGGAATGCTTAACATTTCAGCATGCAAATATGGAGTCATTGAGGTTCATGTGGATGATTATGAAACCATGGACACAAATTAGGGAACAAGGAACTGATAAAAAAAGTGAAACCAAATAATGCACAAACTAGGACCTGATCAATATGGGATTTTTTGGGCGGACCCAGGGGTGTCTCAAAGTTATCCCAGAAGGATAACCACAAAATCGCAATAGTGACAGATTGGAAAGGGGGAAAAAAAACAACAAAACTGTATAGAGCCACAGCAGGCTTTCTAAATGAAATAATGCACCGAAAATGATCAACTAAACCACTGCTGACTCAAAACTTAAATTGTCCAGGAGACCCAGAAAACACAAAAGGCAAAGGCTGACTGGGAGACCTTTAATAACACAAAAGGCTGAAGTCCCAACAAACTCTCTAGCAGCCCAAGTTGTAGTCTGGGAAACACGCAATTGACATCAAATACACACAAAGTTTTGAGTTGGTATTTAGACACACAGACCACTTGCGCCGCCACAGGGAGAACCTCTCACTACCTCTGAAGGTAAGATAATGAGTCAGCACAGAGTACTGGAGACCCCACACCTGCACTTAATCAAAACTAATTAGTCACACACACCTGACTGCTGGGAGTTGATTCTCTCCACCACTCTCACGAGCCCATTTTTATTCCTAGGCTTTATTCCAAGCCTAGGAATAAAAAAAGATGCAAATTAGTGAAAATTGCACAATATTGTTGTTTCTGACTTGTACAAAATGATACAGTACATTATCTATGACATATATTTGTAAACCTTTTAAGATAAATTGCGATATTTCTTACATTTTGATGATTTTATGTTTCAGATCCTTTCCTGCTCTGTCTCTCTATCGAAGGAATATTCTGTATAAATGGTTGTAAAAAAAAAAAAAAAAGAAAATGAAGACCACTGAAATGCTAAGCAACAATAATGCAGCAAAATATCTGAATCATGTCCACATTCACATATTCAGTGCCAATGCAGGTATGATTAAGCAAGTGTAAGAAGCTGCGGTGGGATTGGTCTGTTGAGAGTCAGTCTCTCATGTATTAAACCACAGTCAACGTTATACAGACCTTCAGTTTCCCTATCACATGTTTACCTTTTTTTTTGCTCTGCGCGCCAATGAAAGCTCAGCAGCTGTGTGACCATAGAATAGAAGCTCTTCTTTCTTTAATGGGCTCTATATGAGGGGAAATGACAGCAGTGGGAATTGGTACACTACAAATTAATTAACTCGAGTTAATTGCTATTGTTAACAAGGGCCTATCAGTCATTGCACACTGTGGGTCATGCATGCATAACATAATTGGACATTCATCAACAGGAATGCAAACAGTCATAAGGATTGAAGCATGTTTTTATACTTTGCAAACTGTCTACTGACAAATGCTGGGGATTAAATACTTGTGCAAACAACAACTCGACAATTAATTGAATCAACATCAGCGAGGTTAGAAAGCTGTCGACACTAAATTTAATGCAGAGAGAGGATGAGAAGGCTTCAAACAACCAACAAGGCAGCAGAATATAGCCATACTGACAACTCATCATCATATATGAGTATATATACCAGGGGGCCAACATGGGCTGGCTTGCTCTATACCATTTCCTGTTTCCCACTTGCAGAGCCAGGGCTGTGCCGTGCAAACTTAGAACCAAAGCTGTCATAAGAACTTGGCTTTTAATGTAGCTTTTTCTTTCAAGGACATTTTTTCCTGAACACTTCAGGGACGCTGGAAGTCAGTTTCAGTTAGGTGTTCTGAGAGAAGTATTTCTATTTCGTTGACGTCACAGTATGTGCTGCTCAAAACCATATTTATCAATACGTTGTAATATTCAGTATTATACATACCCTGACTTTGAAATATTAAAGCCAAATATAACACAATTAGAAATGCTTAAACTTTGACAGAAAACAAGGTTATAGCAGAACAACACAACTTTGATTCAGATTCAGATTCAGACAACTTGATTATTCCCAGAAGAGCAATTTCCGATTCACAGCCTACCCTGTCATTGAAAGAAGCCAAGACAATATTCAGGACACAAACACAGTCACAGCAGCATTCAGACTGTTACAATCACTTGTCAGGAACAACAATTCAACAGACGAACAGGTCGCCAAATGAGAAGCCGGAGCTAGGAAATCTAGAAATTCATTGATACAACGCCAGAAATGTATCTAATAAATAGAAACATAAATAGAAGTGATCATACTTAAATTAATGCAGCCCTGTCCCTGTCTTAAGAGCCAATGAAGGAAAAAACTAAGGGGAAGATAGAAACCCAACATGATTTTCTGATGTTAATGTGTAATAATATTCTCTTTTAAATCTCTATGAGTAACTGCCTTAACATGCCACAGCATGAGGAGCAGGTGTTGGCCTCGGGGAGAGGCTGATTAGAGTACAACAGCACAGTGGTCATCTATTTATCTTATTAATGAATGTCATCTGATGTGTGATCTGAAACTTATTTGAAGGCAGTTTCAAATGTAAGAGGGGTACAAAAAGGTTGCCCTTTTAATCTCCAGCCTTCAGCTAAAGGAAATCTTTTTAAAGTGAACACCATGTCAGTGTTAGACGAACATTGTGCAGGTGTTTAACCTTACCTCTTTCTATCCCACTTAGTTTGAATCTGTCCGCAGTTGTTGCAAGACGGTGCAGAGGATTGGCATGGGGAACATTTTAAGATGTTTTAGCTGACCGAATATTCAGTCGTATTAATTCGAGCAAAGCCTAAAGCCACAGATTTAGCTTCAGCTGCTGGAACGTTTACCACAGTTTTCTGCTACAAGTAGACACTGCTGGCACGGCTCAGCAGGCAGGAAAGGCAGCTTTCATAGTCATTACAGCCAGCACTCACACACTTATTGCCCACAGATCTATCCACTCTCACAGTATTTCAGTATTGATTGGGCATCTAGATAATATTGTGGAAATGTCATAAGTATACCGTGATTTGTGCTTGTTTTGAACTCATAACTCACGAAAAACAGAGGGGGTTTGATTTGGTGAGAGGTAAGTAGAAAGTTGGGAAAAGGAAGCATTAACTTCTGTGAAGCAAAGTCACCATGTTGATCAAAGCAGAATACGTGAAAAGGAACACTTCCAAAAAGACGACCACATTTTCTGGTTCAATTGGGGAAAATGTTCAAAGAGCCATCAACATGCCTCATGGTGAAAAAAACAGGTCTCTTGTAGCTTTGATTTGGTCTCTTTAATGTCCAATGTCAGCTCTTTTTGCTCGCTCTCTACCTCTGTTTCTTCTCATTAGAGATGCAGTCACTGTAAACTATGTGCAGCAACCAATAATTGTTAGATTTATGATGCTGTGGTACATTTACATAATCAAACCACAGCCCATTTCAGCTTATTACAGTGCTGTATAAAACGTGGGTATCCTGGATATCTATTGTAACAGAATGAGTTCAGTAAAAAAAAGGGTTTCTATGTCATGGTCGTGATCAAATACATGGAAAAATATCTGCGTCTTAAGGAAAAATAAATCGTAACAAAAAAGCTTTTGGACCACTTGACAATGCTTTCTTCTGTCTACAATGATTGATTGACTTATGAGAGCAGATTACGTATAAAACAATATACAGATTTAAGTCAGACCTGGAAATTATCTGTATCACTAACTAGTGAGCTACTTACCGATTTAAACACATCTTCAATACTTGAGAAATTTTAGTTGCAGTAATTACACACATCAACAGAAGGGGCGGCAGTGTTGGCAGCAACAATAGCATGGATTCTAATTTAAATGAAATTATACGTATTACCCCTTTGATATACTATACCACTGGTGTGGCTCTGATGGCCAACTTCCACCAGATGCGTGCTCGGTCCGTCTCAGCTCCAGCAGTCCAGAACCCTCCGCAGCTGATACGCAGAGCTTTTATTTAACACAGAAAAGAAGAAGCAGGACGTGAAGTCAGACTCCGATACAACATTAAAAAATCTGGTTTATTTTTAAGAATAAAACACATTTTGACAGTTCAGAACGATGGCCAAAAGTGTGCTTGCTTATGTGTTTTATCTCATGCTGTGACGAGTGAATCTGTAAAATTACCGCAAGAATTCCTTTGTCTCGGCACTCCAGCTGTCCGGCTCTGCTTTCCCTGCTGCGCACTGAGCCTGTGGGTACAACGCATCGATTTAGCACAGTAAAGAACGAACGGGACGGGAAGTCGGACTACACAACAACATTAAAACATCTGGTTTATTTTCAGAATAAAACCATCAGTTTTACGGTTCAGAACAATGACTGAGCCTGTGGTTGTTGACGGACGAGGTGCACTGTGCCGTGACGGACCGGAGCGGTCACACAATGCACAAGCTTTGGTCAACAGCAGAGAGACAGTGAAAGCATTGCAATGTGAAGAATAAATACGTCTCATGAGCTGAGATCTCAACCAAATTTGACTTTTTATAATCTGAAGAGCTCATATCTCTCACAGATATTAAAAAAAAAAGGTCACTGGGGATGCCCTTAAAGCGATGGTTGATCTGCATTACATCTAACAATCTAAACCTCAAGGATAATGTGTCAGGGGCTTGCATGTTTGCATTTTTCTCTGCTCTTATTTATCTAAATCAATGAATGCCTTTTTTTTGTGTTCACTGCAGGCGTCTTCACTGCACCAGAAACTACATCCACATGCACCTGTTTGTTTCCTTCATGTTGCGGGCAGTCAGCATCTTTGTGAAGGACAAGGTCGTCCATTCCAGTGCTGGATTGCAGGACTTTGATTCTGCCCTTCTGGACAACTTAAAAACAGTCAGCATGGCACCACTGGACAAGTCTCAGTATGTAAGTACCGGTTATTTAATCCTGTTTTTCTGTCTGACAGACAGGCATGTCAGGCTGTCGTTCAAACCAAACAAGGTCCCTGCTGCGTCCTTCCAAGTGTATTTTGCTTTTGCAGTGGAAAGCTTTTGTTGCAGCGAGTATCTACTATTAAATCATATTAATGATATGATCATACATGACAGAACTTATCCATCTTTCGACTGGGCATTACCAGACACGTTCCTCAAGTCGTTTACTGTTGAATGTTCCTCTCAGATTGGAACTGGGAAAATCTGCTTTTTGTTATTCTGCACTGGACTCTTGGAACAACATAAAGCATCTTCTTGATGGAAATTTACCTTTTAGGCATTTTAGAAACCTGATTTTAAGCCTCCCAACCTGTGTTTGTAACTGTTTTACATAAGTGTGTTTATTTATTGCAGTTTTGTACTAGCTTAATTATCTTAGTACATTTTAGACTTGTGTAGACTGATTTTAGCAGTCTTGTATTATCTGTCCCCTGTTTTTCTTTTTGATTTAATGTCTGCTTTCTAATTATTTCTGTAATGACTTGATGTCATTGCAAATGAGGGTTGCCCCTCAATGATCTTTCAAGTATAAATAAAGGTTGAATTGAATATAGTAACCTTACTATATCATCAGACATTAAGCAAACATGCTGTGTTGCAGTGCTGGCTTCTCTGACAATGGTTTGTTTCAGTTTTGACCAGAGGACTCGGTTTGCCAGACAACCTGAAACCCAACAGGTGCTGCAGCGATGGTTTAGATAGACTCTGCATTTTTCTAATAAGCTCCACGACTGCAAAGTTTTTTTTTTATCTATCTCACTAATAAATTAAATTATAGAAGCAGAAGTCAACCGCTTCACTCTCTTCAGCTGAATTCTCCCTGACTCGTGAAGAAATTATCACTTACAGACTCCTGTCTGCCTTTGTTTCTGACTGCCTCTATGATTTCTATTTGTGGTTTCAAAGAGTTTTCATCATGTTTTATTATGCATTAATTATCAATATTAATCTATAATAGTTCCTGTAAGTGATACTTCTCACATCAGTTCCAACTTTTTAATCACGCACTCATACACTGAGGTTTAATCATTAAGTGTTTCTTACCTGATGGTGCCAACTCTTAAACAGGAAATAGTCAAACTTTTAACGGCATTAACCAAATCAAGGCTTTATATGCCCTCATACCCTCATAGGCTTGATATATTTCATCCAGCAGATGTCAGCCTTGAGCACCAGCATAAAACCAAAACAACTCGCGGTGCATTGTTGTATTAGCATGCTAATGCTAGTGATCTTTATTATGCTCGTATCTTCACACTGCATGTACATTTACCCTAAATGAGCGTGATCTAGAAACACAGTTATTCAGTGAGTACAGTATGTTTTTCTTCTTTTCTCTAGTCCCTCAATTAAACAACTTTTATTCGTGAGGGGAGGAGTCAGCCGCCGTCCCGGCGATGTAAAGAAACTGAAGATAGGACTCGGAAAACTCGGAAAACTCGGAAAACGTCACAGACAGTGGGACTCGGGTGTTACACCCATTATAGACAGTCATGACTCACAGAGTTATTTTCAGAAGATATACTTGATTTCTATTATATTTAAGTGTGAAAAATCGCATATAAAGCCTTTAAAGCTCTGTGTTCATGGATATCAAAAGAAAATGGTCTTATTTGGTCAAGCTGTGTAAAGTAATCACAGAGACAACTTATGATGCCTTCAGTCACCTGTATGTGTTTGGTTCACATAAACCCAGCTCAGTGTTGTGGGGTCAGTCAACAGCACTTTGAAGAAGCAGATCATGAAAGGGTTGACAGAGACTTAGCTTCTAATTACACCCTCTGCCAAACGTGACATTTTCTTCTTCAGTGAAGGTCAAAAGCTGTCACATCCAACTCCATGCACTTCAACAGTTTAATTGGTCCATTAGAGACAGCGTGACAGCAGAACAACAAGAATAAGCCCCAGTTATTATCGTACAGGGTAGCATGTGTTTTGGTTCTAGCTGTTAGACATTGATAACTCCAATGATAATTGTAATGATTATACTGATTCATTTTAAGGGAGCTTTTTAGACATCAAATAAAAAAAAAAGGAACACATCAGGAGTGTTAAAGTGTTTCCACAAGTAGGTCTGTTGTCCTTTGTTGGTCTTGATAAATTGAAACAAAGCACAGGTGTGAAAGTGCATTTAGGGCGCTCACACTACGCCCAGTTGTCCCTTATGGTGCTCCAGGACTAAGCACTGTGTGCTCTTGTACATAAGATCGTTATACAACACATATACTGTGATCATGAAGCGTGCAAGACGGGTGGACTCAAATTTTTAATTTTTTTTCTTGTTCTAAAAGGACATGCAGTAGAGTCTGCGTCCTCACATTGGAGAACAACACAGATAACATGACAGCTAGTTTACTGACTTTGTGGCATATTTTGAGTCATTTTAGTCGGAAACAGCGACAACACTCCAGGAATTCTTGATGATAGAAGGCTGCCTTTGCTTCTGCTCTATATGATGCTTGGGCACTTCAGTGGGGGGGAAAATGCTGTCCCGCTGGACCAGAAGGGCAGCTTCAGCTCCCTGCAACAGACCTGTAATATTCACAGACATGCTCACAGCCTCTAGTCCATAGCTCTTTAACAGCGCTCGAATAGTGAGAGCCAGAATAGTTAAGTAGCTATACAGTGTTAAGGTCAATGATAATGCCCACATGCTCTGAGTGGAATCTGCTTTTGATTGAGTAACCTGATGTACTTTCCAAACTGGAAAAGGTCTGCGCGCCTGCTTGAGTGTGATGCATCTTGAGTGGGATTCTAATCGGACTAAACGAGGGAAAGATTTCAACTTTTTCGGTTATTATTGAAAAAACTCTGACAAAGACAGTCAATATGTGGTTAAAACAACATTAGGGTGAGACAACTGTGAGCATTGACCCTAGTTATGGTTTTAAATGCATTTAATTATTCATTATGCATTAATTGCATTTTTTATTAACCCATGAATCCCTCTTGCTTGTATATGATATTTTAAAGATGTAGCTCTATTTTATCTTAGTCTTAATTTTAGAGGCATCTGAGGTATTTAGCTGGGCCAACATCAAGTCAAGGTCAAGGTTTCTTTATTTGTCTCCCTGGGGAGAAATTTGTCTCGGATATGGAGAAACTGCTGCATGGACGAAACATGGACCAATTAAATGAAAACATCAGTTATCACAAGTGTTCAAAACATTAGCTTATCCCTGCTTCTAAGGTAACCAAAGTATACTTAAGTATCAGTACACACACACACACACACACGCCTATGCACACTGCGCATACTTAGATACTCAGCACATTCCACTCAGACACAGACCCTATTCATCAACATATTATTGACCTGCCTGTCATTGGAATGTCTTGCTCAGTAAGTCATAAATCTAATTCTCTTTTGTACTATGACCTTATTGATCCTGACTTTAACTGGAAGGCCTTTCTATGCCCTACCTTACTTTTGTCAAATCGCTTTATTCTGCTTGTAGGAGCTCAGTGTATCACTCACACATTCTTATATATCCTTTATTTCTTATTCACCGTCTTGTTAAACACTCATTCTAATTCTGAACAATAAAAGGACGACAAACAATGTCTGTTTATATTTTGAAAAGTGAATTTTCATAATCTGTAATTACCTTGTTAACTTTTATAACTGATGCAATTAAAGTCAGTGAGAGTAAGAGAACCTAACTTTCCAGACGGTCAGGTTTGATATGGGTTATATTATCAAATAACCCAAGTGTGAGGGATAAATGAGTTTGTAATAGTCTTGGGATGCATCCTTTGACAAATGGGCAGAAAGAGCTGGCCGCCTCATTGTCAATCCCTGGAATTAATGGACAATAAGCCACACATTCTGAACTACAACCAGCCCATTATCACTACACTCTGAGCAGATACACCATAAAGTGCTAAATAATTATAACTGTGGAGCAGCACACACAGCGACGGTAATGGTGTTCATGAAAAAACTTTCTATATATATGTGGATTTATTATCCCAAATACCGAAAAATTCTGAATGTCAATGCCAAAAATGAAATTGGTGTTTGGTTCTGAAAGCTGTGTGTCTGGGATGTTGATGGTAAGAACAGTCTGTCCCTGGGTTTCCTGAGTTTGAAGCATCTTTGAGTAAAGAAACTTGGAGGTTATCAAGATGAATATATTCTCTGTACCTGAGGGGTCTGCCTTTCAGCCTCCAGTCTTATCTCAGCTGTCATTTCACATCCAGCTGAGTGCAGACCTCCAGATTAGTTTAGAATACAGAGACATTATTTGTTGGATCTTCTTAACAATGTGATTTCAAAAAGTGTGATCAGTTCTTTGTTTAAATCGCAGACAGTCTCCTCATTTCCTGTGAGATTTTCAGAACTGTGAAATTGAAATGAAATGTTGCAAAGAGAGTTGTAGTAGATAATCAACACATAGTTACCTTTCAAAGTTAAGCATATTAAAAAAAACATAAAAATATAAGTTTTGTAGGCAATTAATTTTATCATAATGATAAATGGTAGATGTCTCTTTAATGATGCATTGGCAGATGTATTGATAGATACCGTAAAACTTCTATTAAAAGCCCGGGCTCTAAAAATTACCCTACTTTTATTTGGGACAGGCATCAATACGAGTCAGGCCTTTAATTATTTTCTGACAAATCTAGTGCACAGCACATATGGGAAACTACTATTACATTGTAGATTTACACCAGAAAGATGAACTGAGTACAAAATTAGGAGATTAATAAACAGATGAAATAAATCACTATTGGGTCTAGCTTTGTGAAACAGCATGCAAACCTGCTTCATGCCCGTTTCTGAAAGCAGGTTTAGTGCAAACCATGAGTCTGTTAACACTGAAATCAGGGAAACTCTGGGTTTTTTACGTTTCAGAAAGGGAGGTCACTCAAACTTTAAAAAGAGGGGTAACAACATTCAATTGCAAAAAGATTGGCTAGTCCAAT